CTCTCTGGTAATATGCCATGATCTCCTGTAGATAGAAATGTGCATTAATACTTCAAGTGCATCTGCTATGTAAGGTCACTGTGAAGCCAGTTCAGGAAAAGGCCTACTCTTGGATCCTTGGCTGAAATTTTGCCTTGGGGCACGCCAGTAAAATACTAAACCCATTTAATGTTTGTGGTAGAAACTGACTTCCTATCCGAGTGAAAATGTAATATTAATGATTTACAAAAACTAGACCAGTATAAACCTAACCTAGCTCATATTTTAACACCACTTTGCATACAATGCCATTCTCTGTACATAAAATCAGATTTCCCGATTTTTTATTAAAATCCTTTAAATTTTATAGACAGAAATGATAGTAGGCATTTTCAAATTTTTGTATTTTTTCTTTTGCTTATGTAATTTATTATTAAAACAATGTTACCAGAAGTGTTTTTTTTAAAAAAAAAAAAAAAAAAAGTGGGGGGAGAAAAAGAAACTAATTAGCTCATCACTGTTAAATTTTTGTTGAATTTCCTTTTGATCTTTTTTCTTATGGTTATTAAATAGTTAGAGGAGAAATACAACTTTGAACCCTGCTTTTTGCATTTAACATGACATCTTGCTATATAATATCTTTGTCACATTTTAAAACAAATTATTTTTTTTGTGATCATGTAAATGGCATAATACTTGTTCATTGTAGAAAACTGAATACAAAAGAACTCCAAGAAAAAACAAAATTACTGATAATTCTTTCTCAGATATAGCAGTACTAATACAGACATTTTGTAAGAATGTCGTCATCTCATTGACTTTTAGCTTATTTTCTTAAAGACTTTCCAACCAAGCATATTGTTGTGCTCTGAATATTACCAGCAGTATAACTGTAATTTTTCAAAGTTGACTTGATGTTTCATCTTTATGAGCCTTTCCAGTGGCAGTGGTTATTTAATGTGGATTGGTAGCAAAGGCCTTTCCAAACCAGATTAATTTAAAATTATCCTGAGAAAAGATTGGCAGCTTAATATGTTCATAGTGTTTCGGTTTATCACTTAGTGAGTCATCATTGACAGCTCCAATGGTAGAAACTTAGGAGAATTTCAATGCAGGATAAAATCAGGACAAAGTATTCCTCTAGCAATCTTCCCCTATCTCAGTTACTGGCTACTCTGTCCTTCTAGGTACTTGGGGCAAAAACCTTGCTTGGTTAAGGCCTATCAAAAATGACGTCTCTCTTTCTGTCATGTCCAGTTGATTGGCAAATCTTACTAACTTTGCATCAAAATATATCCTGAGTCTATGTTTTTACCACAGTGAAAGTAAATACACACACACACACACACACACACATATGTACACGACCATTTTCACCATCTCCATTGCTACCACCCTGGTTCAGTCCATCACATCTTTTTTCTTATTTACTGAAATAGCCTCCTAACTGGCTTCTTAGTTTCTCTCCTTGCCCCTTTAATAGGATAACTCAGTGCAGCAGCTAGAGTGATCCTTTTAAAATATGTCATCTCATGCTACTTTTCTGCTCAAAACCGTCTAGTGGCTTCTTAGGTCACTCAGAGTAAAAAATCAGAGTCTTTCCTGTGACCTGCCAGGCTCTGTGGGATCTTTGCCCTGTAACCCACCCCCCTCAATTCTTGCTTTTCTCTCCTTTGTCTGCGTGGCTGTTCATCTACTATACCAGGTGCGCTCCCACCACACAACTTTTACACATGCTTTCCCCACTGCTTGAAAGTCCCTCTCCTCAGATAGCTGCATGGCTCCTGCCCTCGCTTCCTTCACATCCTTACTCATGTTACCTTCTCGTGAGGTCTTCCTGGACACCTATGTAAAATGTCATTATTCACTATACTTTCTCTACTGTCCCTGCTTTAATTTTTCTTATTTGTTTATTCTGTTAATTGTCGAGCTCCATGAAGACAAAAAAAATATATATATATCTATATATCTGTTTTATTTACTGCTGTATGCTCGACACCATAAAACTGTTTATGTCCGGTTGTTGTTGTTATGTGCTGCAGAGTCACACCCGACTCAGCGACCCCTCCTTGGGTTTCCGAGGTGGTATCACTATGGAAGTAGATGGCCCAACCTTCCTTCTGAGGAGTGGCTGGTGGGTTTGAACCACCAGCCTTCTGGTTACCAGTCAGGTGCCTTAGGCAGTATGCTACCAGAGCTCCTGTTTATGGCTGGTACATAGTGTATATTCAGTAAATATTTGTGAATGAAGGGAGCTGTCATTTATTAAAGCAGTGCTAGACTCTGTCATGTGTCATGTTATTTAATACTCAAACCAACCATAGTTACTGGAATAATCAATTATGCTAGGCAGGAAACTGATATTTGCCAGTATATCTTGAAACTAAATGAATTGAGATTCATTTGAATCGAAAGTAGATTCATTTGACTTGAAAGTAGAATTGAGATTCATTTGAATCGGAAGTAAATCTCTAAATAATACAATTATTTTTACAGAAAAACCCACAGTATATCCTGGAATTGCTGTATTTTTCCAGAATGCCTTCATCTTTTTTGGGTAAGTTTATTTTCCATTCTTCATCCTGTTTTTTTGTTTTTTCACTTTAACTTTTTAATGAATAATTTCTTTTATGTCACTTAACTGTATTTGATTGCTTTATTTGCTGTTGTCCCATGGCAGTCCCCCATAAAATATGAAGAATGAAGATAACAGGATATTTTTAATACATAGCTTGGTTTTCTGCCAGCTTGGGAACATATGTTAATTTTTAAAATTACCACCACTCCCCCTTTAGTGAAGAGCTGGGATTCATGTAGATTGAGTTACATAACACTGACAGTGCTCATTTTAAATCTAGTTGCTAACAGTTGATTTTAACAGAAGCCTGCTTAAAGCCATTTCTTCTTTAAAATACGGTTTCTGGGTACATTTTAGAGTTCTTTCTATTCTTAGTGTCCTAGAATTTGTGGGTAGCATTTGAGGTGAAATTTTTCATCCTTCTGATACAATTACAAATTATTAAAAGGTTATTATCCTGAATATCTGCCTACTTTGCCATGAGACCAGAAGAACTAGATATTGCTTGTTTACTATTACTGGATATTTGATCAAAGATTCTATGCTACAGAACAGAATTTCAAATTCTGGACTCCAGAGAGTCCATGGAGGCTGAATGAACTCCTGAAACTATTATCCTGAGAGAATCTTTAAACATTAAACCAAAAATATCCCTTGAAGTCATCTCTTCTTTTCACTTTTCATTATGATTTGGGTGAAGGTTTACAGAGCAAATCCATTTTCCATTCAGTAGTTCATACACGTGTTGTTTTGTGACATTGACTGCAGTCCTCACAATGTAACAGCCATCTTCCCACTTCCTCCCTGTGGTTACCTTTTCCCTGTGTCCTTCTTTCCTGTGCATTTCTGCATTCTGAACTCGCTCTCTGTGCAAGTGCTGTCCTTCTGATCTCCTGTGGTTGATTGTTCTAAGGAGTGCATCTCCCTGGTGTAATAGTTCACCTTGTAGGGCTATCTATTGTTTGGCTGGAGGTTAAGCCATAGGAGTGAGTTCACTATCAGGCCTGAAGGGTAAATAGGGACTACAGTCTCAGGGGTTTCACCAGTCTCTATCAGACCAGTAAGGCCAATCTTTTTTATGATTTTTGAGTTTTGTTCCACATTTTTCTCCCACTCTACCAAGGATCTCCAGTTTTGATCTCTTTCCAAGTGGTTTGCAGTGGTAGCTATGCACCATCTAATTCTTGTGGTCTCAGGGTCATATAGGCGAGGTTTCTATGTCCACTAGTCCCTTGGACTAATTGTTTCCATGTGTCTTTGATTTTCTTCACTTTACTTTGCTGTTTGTTGACTGTACCTCTTTTGTACCTCTCCTTTTCCTTATGATAATTGTCCTGGTCACCCACTTTCCATATATTGCCTTTCCCTTCATCCAAATCAGTATGTGTGTCTCACCTAGCTAGCAGTTTTCCCTCTCCTCCTTTTACCAGCCACTCCTGGAAAGGAAGGTTGGGCAATCTACTTTCACAGTGATACTGCCTCGGAAACCCAAGGAGGGGTCGCTATGAGTCAGGTGTGACTGGACGGCACATAACAACAACAACCTTTCCCTTCCCACTCCTGGTAACCAAACAAACAAAGTGTCCTTGAATTTTTATTTATCTTTCGTCTGTTCAGTCCCACCACTAGGCATACAGTATTTGTCCTTAATGTGTTTAACTTTTCACTCAGCATGATGTCCTCCAAGTTCATCCACTTATGAGGTGTTTGGTAGATTCCCGCTAAAGTCGTCTTAAAACCAAACAATAGTTTAGCTTAACTAGTAAAGAATGTTTTCCTTGAGCATTTTGCTCTTTTAAGATCTGTCTACATGGTATCAAATAAGTTAAAAAACAAAGATTATTAAAACCCCTGAGAACTTCAATAAATCAGGAGTACTTTTTTTTTTTAATTTTTATTGTGTTTTAGATGAAAGTCTACAGAGCAAATTCATTTTCCATACAGCAGCTTACATACAGTTTGTCTAATGACACTGACTGCGATTTCCCACAATACAGCAGCTCCCACTTCCTCCCCATAGTTACCTCTTCCCTGTGTCCTTCCCTCCCATGCACTCCTGCCCCCTGAGCTGTCTGCCTGTGCATACACAGCCCTTCTATTCTCCCATGATTGATCTCTCCAAGGAGGGTATCTGCCTAATGTAAATGTTCAGCTCATATGCCTGTCTTTTGTTTAGCTGCAAGCCACAGGAGTGGGTTCAATACCTGACCTGAAGGGCAGCTAGGGGCCATAGTCTCAGGGGTTCCACCAGGCTCTATCAGACCAGCAAACCTGGTCCCTTTTTTTTTTTTTTTTGATTTTGAGTTTTGTTCCACATTGTTCTCCCACTCTATCCAGGATCTCCTACATAGATCTCCCTCTTCGTGGTTGACAGTGGTAGCTGGGCACCATCTAGTTCTTCTGGTCTCATAGTCATATAGGCTGAGGATTGCATGGTGTACCAGTCTCTTGGACTAATAGTTTCCATGCGTCTTTGGTTTTCTTTTTTCTTCTTTGCTCAGGACAAAGAGAGACCCATCATTGCATCTAGATGGCCACTTGCACGCTTTTAAGATCCCAGTCGCAACTTGCCAAAGTAGGATGAGAAACAATGTTTTTGTGTAGTATGTTATACCAATTGAGCTTGATGTCCCCTGCGACCATGCTCCCAAGCCCACAGGTCCAACTCCTTGTTCCCTCTGGGTAGGTGGCTGTTCCCAAGAAGTGACTACAACCTTGTCCCTTGTCAGCTTTACTGTATACCTGGAAATTCTTATAGAACATACAAATACATTTGTAGAAACATTGTCTGCCAACCCTATACATGGCCTTGGGCACACTCCCCCCTGCATAGACATACCTAATAGTTTAGCCTGTCTACCCATCTATCCACCCCGTAGATCAATGTTTGTCATCACTGACAACACAGTACTGTATGTGCAAAAGGATTCATCTTTCCTTGAGTTTTCACAATAACAGGCTAATACAATATTTGTCCTTCTGTGATCTTATTTCACACAGTATAATGTCCTCCAAGTTCATCCACATTATGTGGTGTTTTGCAGATTCTACATTATTCGTTAAGGTTGCATAGTATTCCATTGTGTGCATGTACCATAGTTTGGTTATCCATTCCTCAGTTGATGGGCACCTAGGTTGTTCCCATTTTTTTGCTATTATAAATAGTGCTGCTTTGAACTTGGGTGTGCATATATCTGGAACTGTTTTTAAAATTTTTTATTGTGATTTGGGTGAAAGTATCCAGAGCAAATTTGTTTTCCATTCAACAGTGCATACACATTTTCTTTCATGACATTCTTTATAATCACTACAATATAACAGCTCTCTTCTCACTTCCTCCCTGTGGTTACCTTTTCCCTGTGCCCTCCTTTCCCATGCATTCCTGCCTTCTGTGCTTTCTCACTGTGCAAATGCTGCCCTTCTGATCTCCCAGGGTTGATTGCTCTAAAGAATGTACTTCCCTAGTGTAATTTTTCACCTTGTAGGCCTGTCTGTCGTTTGGCTGAAGGTTAAGCCACAGGAGTGAGTTCAATTTCAGGCCCAAAGGGTGAGTAGGGGCTATAGTCTCGGGGGTTTCACCAATATGATTTTGACTTTTATTCTACATTTTTCTCCCACTCTGTCCAAAATCTCAATTATGATCCCTTTCCAAGTGGTTGGCAGTGGTAGCCAGGCACCATCTAGTTCTTCTGGTCTCAGGGTCCTATAGGCTGAGGTTGCAGTGGTCCACTAGTCCGTTGGACTAACTGTTTCCATAATATCTTTCATTTTCTTCGTTTTTCCCTGGATGAGGAGAGACCAACTGTTACATCTTTGATGTCCACTCTCCATCACTTGTCTTCAGTTTGTGGCACTGTGGTAGCTTGCATGTTGCTGTGAGGCTGGAGGCTATGTCACCGGTATTTCAGATACCAGCAGGGTCAGCCATGATGGACAGGTTTCAGCAGAGCTACCAGAATAAGACAGACTTGGAAGAGGCCATCCACTTCTCAAAGAATTGGCCAGTGAAACCCTTATAAATAACAGTGAAACACTGTGTGATAAATTACCGGAAAACTTTACGAATAGTGCTGAAACGTTGTCCAATAGTGTCAGCAGATGACCCCACAGGTTGGAAGGCACTCAAAATATGACAGAAGAGTTGCCTCCTCAAAGTAGAGTTGACCTTAATGACATGGATGGAGTAAAGCTTTCAGGACCTTCATTTGCTCAAATGACTTCATTTGCTCAAATGACTTCATTTGCTTCATAACTCAAAATGGGAAGAAACAGCTACAACATCGATTAATAATTGGAACGTGGAATGTGCAAAGCATGAACTAGGAAAATTGGAAGTTGTGAAAAATGAAATGGAATGCATAAAGTACAATATTCTAGGCATTAGTGAGCTGAAATGGACTAGTATTGCTCATTTTGTATCAGACAGTCATATGATCTACTATGCCAGGAATGACAAATTGAAGAGGAATGGTGTCACATTCATTATCAAAAGAATATTTCAAGATCTATGCTGAAATATAATTGCTATCCGTATCTGTACCTCTACAAGTGCAGTGTAGTAAATTACTTTGTGTGGCTTTTCCACCCATAAGTCTTTGTAAACTCCAAGGTGGGATTTGCTATGAG